GGTGACCCCCCCCTCTATTTCTTTATTGTTATATAAATCTATAACATTTGATACATGTTTGGAAAGCCCTTGGGCTTTACTTTAAAAATCTGCAAAAAATTTTAAATTTTCAAAATTTTATATATTTATTGCAAAATCAAGTTTTTTGGCGAAAAATGTACAAAAACAAAAAGTGCACGAACTACGATACATTTTTGAAAATTCCTTAACCCAGCGAATTCAAATTTTCAAAATTTTCAAACCCTAAATGTGATTCTAAAAATATAAAATTATGCAAATTCCCTTAATGTTAAGGGGTTTGTTTAATAATCTGTGTAAAATTTCTTTGCAAAAATTGTGCAGTCTGCTTTCATTTGTTGTAAATTTTACAAAAAACTTTATAACATTGAAATCCAATGACTGGAAGTTGGTCTAAATTTAGATTTAGTCTGGTAAAGGTAAAATAAGGCATTCAGGCAGGATACCTGAGGACTCAGGCAGTAGATATATATAGATGTAATAGTTAGAAAAGTAACAAAATTTGAACATCCTTAGACCAACACTTGTTGAGCAGGAAAATGGTTAATAAGGACACATAGCTCCAGACTGTTTTGAAAAGTTGCATCAAATTTTTGAAGACTGGGCCGAATTTGAAGATTTACAACGCCTTCACAATAGGTTTATCCTCGCTAACTTACTTTTTTGTAGCCTTAGACACGCACTTTTTAAAACTCAGAATCCTTGTTTTAAGGTTCAGTATGCAGGAATTAATTGGAAAGGTTATCAATGATTTTTGCATAAACTCTTGCAACCTTTGGACAACTTTCAAGCAGCATTAAGATTTCAGTCACATCTTTGGTGACTGAACCAACAGTAATTGCAACCGCAGCGGTAACATCTATCTTTCTATCTTCAATATTAAACTTTTCCCTGAGTTAGGGATCTGCAGTATATGTTTGCAAAATCAGATTTTGCGAATGGTGCTGTTATGACTTGACATATTTTTGTTTAAAGTTGAATAAAGATTGTAATCTCTAGTTTTATGCCAAAACTTGTAAAAAGAGGGTTTAGATTTTCAGTAAAAAAATATTTAAGAATATTTAAAATCTTATATTTTTATTATTATTAAAGATTTATTCACAAACATTTAATATTAATACATATATTACATATTACATATTTTAATGGTATAGTAAATTTGTTTTGTTATGAATGATATTAGATGTATTCATTATTCACTCTCATAATCTCCAATTTCATAAACCTGCTATTTTAAAGAATATATAGTCAGCCATTTTATAATGAATTTTTTTCATAAATAAGTCTTTGCACTTAAATAATAAAATGTAAGCAATATTTAGAACAAGTCAGCTCATAATTAAATCAAATTATGACTAAATACAGACTTTTTCAGCATATTAAAGGGTGTCAATCCATTCTTGATGTTTCTAGTAGACTTGACATCCACACTGATCAAAGGGTGTAAACCCATTATCGATGTTTCTAATAGACTTGACATCCACACTGATCAATGGGTGTAAACCCATTATCGATGTTTCTAATAGACTTGACATCCACACTGATCAAAGGGTGTAACCCCATCATCGATGTTTCTAATAGACTTGACATCCACACTGATCAAAGGGTGTAAACCCATTATCGATGTTTCTAATAGACTTGACATCCACACTGATCAAAGGGTTTAAACCCATTATCGATGTTTCTAGTAGACTTGACATCCACATTTCGCACTCGTCAAAGGGTCAAATCTAATTCTTGTGATCCAATTCTTATGAGACTGTGCAACATGCTTTCTCGATTCCTAGTCGGGATGCAAAAATTGTTTTTATTTAAAAGAAATGATAATAGAGGCGTAAAATTAGGTTGAGCCGTTATCATGATATATACCAGACTTATTTTTAAATATTTGTAATGTTCGGAACCCCCCTCGCCCCTTCTGATTTTATGACGTCAAATTGTTCACACTGCCAAATTTACGTAATTTTAATAAACACCTAACAACAATACAATAGTGTAGTTATTTATAACCCTTTTTCTAGACATTCATGCTTTAAAAGCTTATTTGTTGAGCCTTCTCACTTCTATTCCGGGCTGACGTAATTTAAAATTATTATGCCTGCATGCCTTGAATCATGAATAGAAACATGAATACTTAAAAGTGCTACTTCATGCAATAGATAATTCGTACTTTATTAAAGAAAGAATTCGCTATCGGGGATATTTGAAACTTTAATCAGGGAAAATATATTGAAAGAGGGTTACAACTTACAGTCCTGATTTTTCATGGAATTAAGTCTACGTATATTTAATTTTTAAGACAGGGTCGACTTTTAAGTGTCGCAACGCCTTAACCGTTGATTTTCCCTAACTAACTCATCACCGTTTTTTTTGTAGCCATAGGAATGTAAATGTTATAATTTTTTTAGTTTTATAAGAAGTAAATGGCAAAATTCTTATCGATTTTAACATTACAGCTTACAATCTACAGTGCAACCTTTGCTCTGGTTAAAAAAAAGTCTGTAACCCTCTCGAAAAAGAAATTTTTTGGCTCAAATACTTTATTACTCGCCTCCTTTCAACAGGTTGGGTTATAAATAGTTATTAAATCTTAAAATGTCAGAATCTAGAAAATAACAATTATATAATATAATTAATTAGTTTGAATTTAATCAGAAATATTATTATCTATGCATTTATTTTTATTACCCTTTAAATCTAAAACATTTGTCTGCTAGCTGGACAAAAATCAATCCAGATAAAAATACTAAACCATGATTAAATATTCTAGTATGTGCATATATTTTCAACATTAGGACCATGCAAAAACTTTAAAAAGTTTAATTCCTTTCTCGATTTATTTTTACAACATTGTTCTGTCTTCCTTGAAAGTTTTAGAACATTATTGGTGTCATTGTTAATTGGAACCAACTAATTTATTTCATTTTATCAATTTATATTTCAAGTAAGGGTGAAAATGTTTCATCGAAAAAGTTCTTTTATGAATCAGTAAAACATTATTGTTGAGTTCAAGAGGGGGGGGGGGGGTCTCGAAACAGGGCAATAAGAACAAGGAAGAGTTAGCTCCCGGATAAAGGAGGGATATTTATTTCCCAAGCACCGGTCCCCGGGCAACTAAAGTTCTTTCAGGTTGGCAGTTCAGCTTCCCACAAGTTCTCCTCTAATCCATTGATGATAATACCAGAAATATCTTTATTTCAATCCTATAAATAAGTACGATTAACAATGATATTTAATGTTTACGATAATTATTTGTATTATGAAATGTTCTTACTAGTGAAGGATTGAAAGGGGATATGCGGGCTATTAAACAGTGCTAAAACAAAGTTTTTAGCTTCTGAAATAAAATGACAGTTTGGTTACAAAGATTTGTTGTTCACTACACGAGAAGGTTGTTTACAATTCTGCCGGAGCTAGGAAATGTTGGGTTTGGCCACCGGAGAAAATTTTGGTCAAAGACGACCTTACAGCGTGATTTGCTGAACCACTGGATATTGTCCATTTCTCTGTTTTTCGATATGTAAAAAAAGTGTTTGATCTACCCAGCAATGTTTTTGCTTATTATTCAATTTTTAAACGGAATTTTTGCGATTTTAACGTTTCTGAACTCATTTTTAAAAGCGGTTATTTGGAAGGCAATCTTGATTTAATGTTTAGGTTTTTTTCTGGCTTGCACTAGTGATTTGACACAATTAAAGGCAAAAATCTAAATTAATTTAAAATTGTATAAAAAATACATAAAAATGTATCAAAAGCAGTTTTCTCAAAAAAAAATTACCCCATAATTTCGCCCTTAATTCGATAAATATTGTTACATTTACTAACAGAGGTATACATGTAAATACTTAGGTAAAAGTAAAATTGTATCGGACATCGGTGTATACTGTATATGTATATTTTATATATGTTTTACGTATAAAACTCTTTTACAGTTTTCTTCTCTATGTTTGGGAGGTAGGTTGTGTACATCAAGATATGTTTTACGTATAAAACTCTTTTACAGTTTTCTTCTCTATGTTTGGGAGGTAGGTTGTGTACATCAAGATATGTTTTACGTATAAAACTCTTTTACAGTTTTCTTCTCTATGTTTGGGATGTAGCTTGTGTACATCAAGATATGCTTTACGTATAGAACTCTTTTACAGTTTTCATCTCTATGTTTGGGATGTAGCTTGTGTACATCAAGATATGTTTTATGTATAAAACTCTTTTACAGTTTTCTTCTCTATGTTTGGGAGGTAGCTTCCGTACATCAAGAAATGTATAGATTTGTGCCTAGAGATACGAATAGATATTTGATTGAAAGTAATGCACAATGTTTACATTTAAAAACTATATTAGCTAGCAGATGTGTGTCTTTCTGAGAGACTATATATAGCAAGTTGCATTAGATTTCTTTCTAATTTATGTAAAAATGACCTTACAGTTCTTGGCAGAAATTTATTTTCCATTGCAAATGATTGCTCTGTAAATCTTTCTGATCGTAGTAAAATGTTAGTTAAGAAACAAATGAAATACTTTGATGTCCCATTTGACCATGCATGGAAAGTTCCGGTTTTACAAGAACTTTTAAATACAAGAACGAATAATTTAAATGTTGAAGAATTCAATGATTACGAAATACCCGAAATGGTAAATATGTTTTGTACTGAGTAATGATCAATGTCGCCTATTTTTGCATAATATAGCATTTTTTTCTTCTTTTGGAAAACTATATATTTAAGATATCCTAAAAAAAATTAACTACGCCATTTATGTATATATGTATAACTTTATGTGTGAATAAATCTTTAAAATATAATAATAAGAGAGATATCGTCGCTTCGCTCTTAAAAAGATAGGAGTTTTCTCAATTTGATTCCGTATCTCTATATTTTAATAGCTTTGATAATTTAATCATTTATTTCAAATTCAAAATTAAATAACACTCTTTTTAAATTTCAAATTTATAAAGGTTGAAATGTTAAAATATTGTAATAATATTCAATATCGATAGTTTATTAGCTGTTTAAAATCAAAATTATCACACAGTATTGTTTTATTTAATTAGAAGGGGTTGTATGCTCTAACTTGAAGGGACTGCTTCAGAATTTCGAGGTCAGTATACTCCTAAACATTAAACAACATTTAACTATCATTTGATCATCGTAAATTTGATGACTTTTTCTGAAAAGAATTAAATGATTGAAATATAGTTGGTCTTATACCGGAATAAAAATGTTGCTGCTCTGCTTTCTAGACATTTTTCAATCCTATTCTGACGAGGGGGGGGGGGGGAATAAATCTTGTTGTTTTTCGAGAACTCGAAAAGTATTTGAGCTATAAGAAGCTCCTGGATTGGATTTATTAGATTTCAACAATTTATCGCTCTTTTGGAAGGCCTTTATCAAAATATCACATTTTTTTATAGAAATATTGCAAAGATGCCTGTACAGGAAATTTGAACATTTTCAGCTTTACTTAAATGCAAATTTAGGTTTAGAAAAATTTTCAATATTTTTGCAGCTTTGTATTTGCTGGGTCAAGGGTTTTCAATGATGTAAAGTTTTTCGAATTTTGCGCAATTTTAATTTTTGCACATTTGTGGCTAAATAACTACATTTTGCAATAAACAGTCGGATTTTTGCAAATTAATTATTGAAGGTGCGAAAGGTGGTTCAAGAATGTTAAAGTCTGAATAATGTTAGAAGGTGGGAATGCTATATAAATAAAAGATAATTGCAGCGAAAGTTACAATCTTAAAAGGCGGTGTTACGCGACGAAATCGTCCCGTATAAACTTTTAGCCCCTGATGAGTTTGATTATACTGTGAAGCCCCTGTGGAGCCGAGAACTGGGATCTGTACTTTCTAAACATTCAAACCAGTTAAAAGTGTACGCTACCTAAACACCATATTGTTTCATGAATTTTCTCGTCAGTTAAATTTGATATTTACGGATAGTAAAACCTGTGTTATTTTTCGTAGCTAAGGCACTTTGAGGTACATATTTTTTATATATATATATACATTGGATAAAAAGAATTGATTTATGTCTCTTTGCAAGGACGAGTTTAAACCTTTTGAATGTGTTTTATTGTTTAAATCATTGGCAGAATCCTTCTTTCCTAAAAAAACTTGATTGTGACGATATAAATTGAGTTTTTACAGAGACTTTAACTTTTGAAGGATTGATATAAGGTCGAAACTTTTGAATTCTCGTCGCCATAGTGAATTTCTATTGTATTGGAAGTTTATGCTAATACCATAATTTGGATTGTGTACTATCTTTTACGTTTGTATGATTTAATAAAGTTCTAATTCGGTCAATCTTTAGATTGAACCGTGTATCCTGTAACTAGAGCACTGATTATTCTGAGACTGAGATTTGTAGAGAGGTCATAGGAGTCATGAAGTTATAGGACGTTCCAATCAACCGGAGCTACAAAATGACTAGGTTCGATATCTAAGGGTTTACCCTAGAGTTTTTATTGTCTATTAGCGGCCAGGGTTGGTCGCGAAACAGGCGGACAGGGTCTGTAATTCAAAGTTTTACTTGGTTTTACATTTATAAAATCCCAACTCGGTTTGGACTTGTGTTGTGGATTTTTAAAAGCACTCTTTAATAATCTTGAGATGGAATTTAAAGAATTTGAGCCGCGGTTTAAATCCGCCAAAACCCGGCTTAAATCTTGAAACATTTAATACAATTTTAAGTGGAACCATCCATATTTAAACCGAGGCTTAAATTTAAACCGCCGCTCAAATTCTTTAAATTCGGCCACTTGTTATAAAATATTGTAAGAATTATACCTTGGCGTAAAAAGTTATATATTTCTGAGGAGAAACCATATGAAAACCATTCTGACTAAATCTTCCCTAAACAAGTCTTAGATTCAAAAACTAATCATGCCTTTATTTCCAGCATCAAACATCATCATTATTAAAGGGAGTGTTCTAGAAATTGAAAGGGGTTACCGAAAAATAAGCGCTTTTGATCGCTACCAATCTTACTTCTATCTGTTGCGTCTATAAGGAGAAAATTGATTTAAATGACTTATACTGAAGAACGTAGCGTCCATACAAATTCAGAAAGTTGATTAGTAGCGATCAAAAGCGAGTATTTTTCGCCGTAAGCCTTTACCCCCTTTCATTTTTCGCGAACACTCCCTTTAATGTGTTCGTTATTGTTAAATTTAATAGCTTGTCTTAGCGATTACCAATACCATTGTAGTTCTACTATTCATATTTTTCTCAACTTAATTTCATTTCATTCTTTCGTTTTATTTGTTGTGCTGATTCTCATTTTTGTGTTTTTGTTTTATAGCTATTTTGCTAAACTTAGCTTTAAGTCTTTATTTGATCTTGTCCACCACTTTAATTGTTTTATACTGCTAGGGCTATTACTGTTTTTGTTAAGTGCAGAGTAAAATCAATATTAATATAAAGCCTCTCATTGAAAACAACCAGCACTAATCAGAGAAGTCCTGTATTACATATATCAATCTATTTTTATATCTATGTAACCTGTATTCCGATTGCCTCGATCCAAATGTAGAGCGCGATGTTGTCAGTGTTTACTTGAATAGTATAGCTCTCTTTATAGGGTTCATCATGTACCTCCAACATTTTAAAGATAAATTAACAATTTGTTGACATTTGTCAAATTATCAACTTGTTTAAGGAACTGTTGTAGTAAATGTCAAATTCTCAAAAATATCCTGTAAATTTTTTTCTATAATGTAAAACATATCGTTTTTTTCTCAGCTTGAAAAGTGTTTAATTCAAACAATTTTCTCCATTGCATCTGAATCTGATATCCTCTGGTCACTTTATTCAGAAATAGCATTTGAAAATAATCAGTTTTCAAAGAGAAAATGTTGTATATTTCATGCATACTTGATCAGGCAGTGTTTATACAAGGAGTACCATTGTGAATCAGACCTTCCACTTTATAGATGAAGCGTACAATACTTGAAATAAGTAACATCATATTTAGAAAAAAACTGTAAGTTTTAATACTAAAATTTGTTTTTAGCTAAATTGCATAATTAGAATTAATTTGCAAATATATGAATTATTTTTAAAAAAAATAATATTATTTTTGCAGATTTTGACAGCCTTCATATTTAAAACTTTAATTTGAGTAAAAAATTCTAAATTGTTCAATCAACTAAACCTATTTAACAAAATGCTATGGATTACTGTATAAATGGTAGAAAAGTTTCCATTTTAGGGTTTGTATACAGTTAATTTTTATCATCTCAGATCAAACATTTTAGAGGTTGTATACAGTTAATTTTTATCTCAGATCAAACATTTTAGAGGTTGTATACAGTTAATTTTTATCTCAGATCAAACATTTTAGAGGTTGTATACAGTTAATTTTTTATCTCAGATCAAACATTCTAGAGGTTGTATACAATTGATTTTTATCATCTCAGATCAAACATTTTAGGGGTTGTATACAGTTAATTTTTATCATCTCAGATCAAACATTTTAGAGGTTGTATACAGTTAATTTTTATCATCTCAGATCAAACATTTTAGGGGTTGTATACAGTTAATTTTTATCATCTCAGATCAAACATTTTAGAGGTTGTATACAGTTAATTTTTATCACAGATCAAACATTTTAGAGGTTGCATACAGTTAATTTTTATCACAGATCAAACATTTTAGAGGTTGTATACAATTAATTATTATCATCTCAGATCAAACATTTTAGAGGTTGTATACAGTTAATTTTTATCATCTCAGATCAAACATTTTAGAGGTTGTATACAATTAATTTGTATCATCTCAGATCAAACATTTTAGAGGTTGTATACAGTTAATTTTTATCATCTCAGATCAAACATTTTAGAGGTTGTATACAGTTAATTTTTATCAACTCAGATCAAACATTTTAGGGGTTGTATACAGTTAATTTTTATCATCTCGGATCAAACATTTTAGGGGTTGTATACAGTTAATTTTTATCACAGATCAAACATTTTAGGGGTTGAATACAGTTAATTTTTATCATAGATCAAACATTTTAGGGGTTGTATACAGTTAATTTTTTATCTCAGATCAAACATTTTGTGTGGAGTAATGAACTCTAAAACGCTTGATCTCGATATTAAAGCTGGGTCCGGCCCTACCACGGTATATCCAACAGGAATTGATAATATATTAATAAGATTAACAATACAAAAGTTTTGACCTCTGAGCCCAAAATCTAAAAGAGTCTCGTTGAACGAAACTCCCGAGCTTTCTTTTTGGGGTCTCGAAACTTCCGTAGATTTTAATTTAATGTTTAATTTTTGTTTAGAAATATAAAAATATTTCTAGAAATATAAAAATATTTCTAAAAAACTGGCTGACACCATTCCTGAAACCGGGTTTCCGAAACTGGGTTTCCTTACTCTGTCTTAAGTTTCGGTCTCGGACACTAAAAACTGAGACAAATTTTTTTACTTGAAATATTGACAATGAATATCATCACGAAAAAAATCCAAATTTGGAACTTAAAAAAAGGACAAATATCTGGGAAACATGTACTTTCCTTTTCAGTAGAAAGTTGGATGAAAACGTAAACACAAATATAAAATAATAGAATTATCAATAATGTATTTTTCAGAACAATAATTCTTTTCATTCGATAAAAAGATAGAAAAGTAATATATCATGAATGTTTTTCATATTATTTTTTATTTCCAGTATTTATAAATACATTTAGAACATTTTTTTAGAGATCGTTTCCAACATCGATTTAACGGCCCGGTATGTTTTTTTGCTGCATTTTTGTAATTTTTTTTATTTTTTGTTTGTTATATGTTTGATATTTATTGTTAGTTGTTTCAGGCTCCCGGTTTCTGAATTATAAAGACACAAAATAATTGATTCTTTGTGAAAAAATATGTTTCTCTAATCCCAATATATTTTTAATCCAATTTCGTTGACCTTAGATATTTTAAACTATGAATTCTGTTAAATTAAATAATCTAAGGTTGAAAATTAGCATCATCAGGTTGCAAAGATCTATCTACCTATCTATCTATCTATCTATCTATCTATCTATCTATTTATCTATCTATCTACCTGATTATCTATATAAACAAGGCTTATCCAGACAGTGGGTTTCTGTATCCCTGAAGAGAAATCTCCCTCCACCCCAACCAATCCTCTGAAGTATAGAAACTATATCTTTATGATGTGTACTTCAAAAAACTTCGATACAAAGTATTTTGGGGATAAATGGAGTTTAAGGAATTGAACTCATTTATACTCCATGATACAAGAAATATAAGAGTTTGAACCTACCTAGGAGACTCCATGATATAGTTCTCTGAAATGAATCCACCTTCAGGTTCAACTAACTCAAACACAAACATACAGTAGCTTAACCTACAAAACAAAGAAACCGAGTTATTGCCACAAACCCTGATTTTCAAATCCCTAAATCTTTGCAACCCAATGTCGTAGATATTTAAAAAAATAAATTCTTTTGGATCAAATAATGTCAGGTTGCAAAGATACAGGGATCATCACTTTATTTTTAGTTTTTGACGTGACTTTTTTATTTTTTATTTATCTGGTGGGTCAGTACTTCTGTAGTTAGTATTTCTGACTAATCCAAAAGATTTTAGACTAATCTCACTGATTGTAGACTAATCTCATTGATTGTAGATTAATCTCATTGATTGTAGACTAATCTCATTGGTTGTAGATTAATCTCACTGATTGCAGACTAATCTCATTGATTGTAGACTAATCTCATTGATTGTGGACTAATCTCATTGGTTGTAGATTAATCTCACTGATTGCAGACTAATCTTATTGATTGTAGACTAATCTCACTGATTGTAGACTAATCTCATTGATTGTAGACTAATCTCATAGATTTTAGACTAATTTCGTAGATTTCAGGCTAATCTCATAGATTTTAGACTAATCTCATAGATTTTAGACTAACCTCGTAGATTTCAGACTAATCTTATAGTTTTCAGACTAATCTCATAGACTTTAGACTAATCTCATAGATTTTAGACTAATCTCATAGATTTAGACTAATCTCATAGATTTTAGACTAATCTCATAGATTTTAGACTAATTTCGCAGATTTAGACTGTACTAATCGCATAGATTTTAAACTAATGTCGTAGGTTTTAGACAAATATCAAAGATTTTAGACAGATTTCGTAGATTTGAGACTAATCTCATAGATTTTGGACTAATTTCGTAGATTTTAGAAATATTTCATTGATGTTATACTTGTCTCATAGATTTTAGACGTGTCTTGCAGATTTTAGACATATCTTATATATTTGTACAAATCTCTTAGATTTCAAACAAAATCGTAAATTTTTTAATTATCTCACAAATTTTGGACAAAGCTTATAGATTTCAGAATAAACCATGGCTTAAAGCTTGAAGATTAAACTAGAGCATTTTAGTTCTAAAGTCTTTTTGAGCATAGAAAAAAACTTTTGGAGCATAGATAAACTTATGAAGCATAGAATAAACTTTTGGATCACAGACTAAACTTTTGGAGCATTGATAAACTTTTAAAGCATAGAATAAACTTTTGGAGCGAAAAACAAACTTTTATAGCATAGACTTAACTTTTCGAGCATAAACTAAACTTTTGGAGCGTAAAATATACTTTTGTGGCATAGACTAAACTTTTTGAGCGTAAAATAAACTTTTGAAGCATAGACTAAACTTTTAAAGGAGTTGAACACTTGTCAAAAATTATACCTTTCTGCTGACTGAAACAAATGGTGAAATATTACTTACGACTTTACGCTCTTATTTAAAAAAATTGTTCACCATAAAAATGTTTCATTGGTATCAAATGAATTCTGAAGTTTTTCTCGACAATACTGTACTTTCAGTTCAACAAATATGTCTAGCCGATCTCTTCCATTAAAACATCATGTTGCAAAGGAATTACAAAAGTTTGTGGCAAAGACTCAGTTTCTTTTGAATGTTTACTCTTTCAGGTTGCAAAGGTATAGGATTAGAAAGTTAGAGATTGTGTTTACATGATCAATTTCTTTTACACTGATATTACGATCAAATTCATAGATAAGATCTATTCATTGGAAACCATTGATGCAGGCAATGAAGTTTAAAATTAGCTTTTACATCAGAAATTTTATACTTTTTCTTAAAATACAATATTTCTTTTAAATCTATATTTCTTCAAATAACATTTTTAAATGATTTGAATTGGAAAAAAATTTAAATCTACTTGGAACCATATATTTAAATCTTTTGAAGATATATGGTTTAAAGGGAAAGGACTTATTCAATTCAAATCCAGAAAAATATAAATAAACGCTAAACCTGAAAAGATCCATTTTTAATATTGATTAAATTCTTGATAATCGATAAATTTATGTCCACTAGGCTTTTAAGGTGCTTCACACCCATTCTATTTTTCAACTTTTAACTGTGGATCTATCTGTGAGCATCTTCCATTTGTAGAATATAAAAAAGTTCACGGATTTGATAATATTTTTTCGCACATTTTCAAAATTTTACAAAATTCAAAAACGTTTGGCTGCAGAATATGTAAATTTTAGCATCCACATAAACCTTCCCTTGGTAAACTCCCACAAAAAAAGTTGGGCCCGATCGGTTAAGCAGTTGTGGTGGCTTTCATTGGATACAAACAAACAAACAAAGTGAATAAATACTAAAGTGGAACAGACTAAGGCAACGACGACAGGTTGGGCCATAAGGTTCTATTTGGTTTGGAAATAATTAAACGAAAAGTTTTCTTTTGGAAAGTAAAGACTAGAAAAAATAAACTAAAGACCCATGTAAATGTCGTCTTCAGTTAGAACTTCGATATTTTCATAAATAAAAATCTAAAAATTTTGTATTTTTTTATGTAGTTTATGTGTAAATACTATACAGTCGCTTAATCAATAAATTGATTTTGCCTGGCACTTTTAATTTTGCACCCCCCCCCCCCCCCCTTATAAGAAAAAGAAATGTAAGCCCTTCCTGGGAAAAAAAACCCTGAATATCCCTCTCTCAATATCTTTTCCTACAGGGTGTCCCACGAAACATGACAGTTGGTGAATAGTTTAGAATGTCTTTGTTAAGTTGTTTGATACAGAGTGTCCCAAAAAACATGGGAATTCAGTGGCGAATTCGATATCGTTTTTTTTTTGAATTAATATTGTAATACCTAATTTCAAAAGTCATAATATTATTATGTCTGCTAGAGTTTATTTTATGAAAATGGTAAAAGACTGCAAAGATGTGTAAATAATGGCTCCGCAAGATGAACAGAGAAGACGGACAAGTTTACTCTGTTTGTTTACTGCAATTTTTTTGGTTTACTAAGTACCAATTTACATATATATATGTTTTATTTCATTATTTTTAAATACTTGGGACATAAAATGTCGTCATCCAACTATGAGTTTGGTCCACTTTAGTATTTAATCACAAGCACTAACACCCAGACACAAGCAGTATATACAGATGCGCAGGAAGAAATGATATTTTGAATTATATGATTTAGCAATCATATCAATAAATGTTGTCACCATCAAATTATAAGATTTAGCAATCATATCAATAAATGTTGTCACCATCAAATTATATGATTTAGCAATCATATCAATAAATGTTGTCACCATCAAATTATAAGATTTAGCAATCATATCAATAAATGTTGTCACCATCAAATTATTTCGGTTAGACATCGACTAAATCGGCCTAAAACCTGCTTTATACCTGTATGCGTCTAGAGATCCAGATCTACAGTCGCCATTTTCCAATAATTCCCTGAAAACAGAAAAAAAAATGTCGGATAAAAACAATAATTACTTAAAGAATAAATTTTATCTAAATTGGCAAAAAAGTTTTAATAAACGAATTGTAAGATTTAGATTTTTTAAACTAATGAATATTAATAATGCTTGTAAAAAAAACTGTTGTTTTTTACTGCTTAAGTTTTAAACTTATTGACGATTAAAAAAATATATTTAAGTCTTTTTAAAAAAAGATAAATGCTGTGATGAATAATTCTAAGTAAGGGCATTTTTTGAATGCAAACATTTTTTTTTTCTCCGTCAATTGTTCAAAATTAAGGATAAGTGCGATATTCTTCCATTAAACCAAAGTACATTCTGCATCAGTTAGGAATTCTGCAAGTTATCTAGCATATCTTCATATCCCTGGAGAGCTGTTGATATAAAAACTACAAGTTCATAATTGTGCAAAAAGAACTATTTTTGTTATTGGAGTGTGCTAGTATAGTATTAACAAAAAAGGTACGAAAGANGGGGGGGCACGTTATTTTAAATATGAAAATCCTAGAATATAATTTTGAAATTACTTATGATAGGATCGAGACTTTTTTCCTGATGTTTTTAAAAATCCCCTCTTGCTATAAACTATGAATAACCTGAGTGGAACTGAAGCAACAACTGAAGATCCTTCAACTGAGCAAACCTGTCCTAGCTCTAGGTCTACACTATAGCTAGGAGCAAACCCGTTCCATTTATAAACTCTAGAAACAATCAAAAAGCGACTGAAATTCTCACTTTTTCAGCGTTGGCACAGGCTTAGTTGTGTTACTTTTTCAGAAAATGGAGAATTACAATTATTGAACAATCCCTTTAAAACTAATATTCAAATCATGCTTCCCAAATGTGCAATTTCCCGGTAAATGGGCTGAGCGCTGCAGCTATGACAGACTTGGGAAGTTGCCACTTGGGAAAATACCCTTGGGAAGTTGACACTTGGGAAAGTACCACACATCCTACAGAGTAAACAATTTTGGCAAGCTTTATCCAGTAAAGGAACTGCCATTAAGTAGCACTCCGTTTATATAATTGCATATCTGATTCACTATGTAGTTTTATCTAATTAAGTATGCATAAAATATTCTTCATCCTCTCTTTTAACCCTAAAGGCTGGGGGGTCTAAATCTATGAATTGCCTGTGGGGGCGTTTGGTGCCCCCCCCCCCCCTAGAAATATGCCTTAGAATAGGTAAAGGGTTGAAATGCATGTTCATAACCCAATTTTTCATGGCCAGCTCAAAGAAAAAAAAAATAAGATCGATAACTTTAATAGTTTGGTTTCTAGGGACGGTGGAAAAAAGGCCTAAAAAAGGGTAAAAAAAGTGAGAAAAAAAATATTTTTTTTTGGTTTTAAACAAATATCAAAGTGTGACACATGTTTCTACGTGCAGTTTTCAAGAGCTTTTCAAAAATATAGTTTTATAGATCTGTAGCTTTAGTTACGGGCTATTTAATTTTTTTCTTTTCACAGACCGGACTTTTTTCCGCCGTGCACCCTACCCTGTAAATTAAAAAAAAAATATGTTTTTAACAAAAAAAGCATTTAAATAACTATTCATCAAAAGTCACAACATTTCACGGTGATACTGTCAAAAATGAGAGTGCTAGGACAAAAAATACAGGGGGGCACCACACCCCCCCTCCCCCAAAATGTTTAGGGGGTTTACATTGATTATTTTCCACTGGTAATTCAATAGAAGTTTCTGTGAAAGGTAACTTGCGCCATTCTGGTTTAGAAACTATGAGGAAATTGTCAGCAATTAACACTTTTAAGATATTCATCATCACCTCCTAGAAAATTGATTATTTTCAATTGTATCAATAAGCGATTCTCTTGAAAATTAAAACTGTGCATTTCTGCTTCAGAAACAATGGGGGAAATTTTCATAATTTAAGCCTTTTTAAGCAATAAAAACCCTGCTCTTTAAGGGTTAAGATGTAAATATCACGGATTCAAAAGTGTTTTGAATTTGTTTAAAAAATTGGAAAAAGTAGATATATATAATATAAAAGTATATATATATATATATAAAAGTCAATATATATATATATATATATAAAAGTAGATATATGTATATATGTAGATATATATATATAAGTAGATATATATTGATTAGTTGATTGATTCCCTGATATGTAACACATGTTCCTTGCTATTCATCTCATCACAAACTACATGAATGTTGATGAAGTCCCCCTGTAAGACCGGGGAGATGAGGGTGGGAGAGAAGAAGTTAACAGCGTAGTAATGAGACATCTTCCATTTCCCTCCATACTCTGCAGTTAAACCAACTTCAGGAGCTGAAAATACAGAGTTACCCACAAAGAATGAGACTTCAGAGACGACTGTACTGAACAAATATCTGTTTGTTTCCATATATTAATGGGGCCCTGCAATGGTAAGCTATAGTTATTAAATATTTGTCAAATCATTAATTAGCTGATAAAATTTTTTATTTAAGATAGAAGTTTCAGGTCGTGTTGTAAAGTCTCATCCAATTTGGGTAACCCTGTACATTGTTTTTAATGAAACCAATTCCTGTTCTTGCTGTGTCTGTTCCAAAAATTAATGACTGAACACTCAACTCTGAGTACGCAAACCAAAACATGGATTAAACTCCAATTAAAAGTCTAAAGTAAACCAAAATATTATTATTTTTATAAAGATCTGATTGGTTGAAGTTAAAAAACACGAAACTCTCATTGGATTAAAACCATCATAGAAATCCAAAAGATTATCGGATTTGTACTTTCTAAAGGATTAACAGTCCAAAAATTCCCACCTAAAAACCGTTGTCCCAGTTCGTCTCACCTTTCTTTAACTCTTAAAATAATACAAACACACCTTTTTTGATGCAGCTCATTTAATCTTTAGTGTATACAGAATAAGCAAAAGAATTGACATGAAATATCCTAAATGTTGATCATAACATAACAAAACAAGATAAAACATAACATAATATAACACAGCATAACATAACATAACATAACATAACATAAAATAACATAACATAACATAACATAACATAACATAACATAACATGACATATACATAACATAATATAGAATAACATAACATAACATAACATAACATAAAATAACATAACATAACATAGCGTAACATAGCAGGACCAAGGAATATATATTTTATAAAGTAAAAATCTGGTATAAAATGAATCCTAAAAATTTTCTCTACAACACTGCACTTTCAACTCAACTACCATGTCTTTTGAAGTTGTCGGTCTCTCCCTTTGAATTAAATTCCACTTTAGATTTATTTGTTTTCATTTTCAATCTTAACTGAGTCTCTTATTGAAGGGCTACTAAAGGACAAAAATGACCTTCCTTGCAAAGAATGCCTGATTCACCATGGTACCATTGAAAGTTGATCAAGTATGAACGATACATCCATGGTTTTCTTTATTAAATATGTTCATTTGCATTTATGGTGTCTCGTGCAAAAAGTCACTCGCGAATTTCTTGCTGAAAAGAAACAATGGAGAAAATATCAAAATAAAACATTTGTAAACCAAACAAACCATTGTAAATTGGCATTTCTTTCTTTGCATGGAGGGTCACATTCCTCTCTTTGGATGGAGGGTCACATTCCTCTCTTTGCATGGAGGGTCACATTCCTCTCTTTGCATGGAGGGTCACATTCCTCTCTTTCCATGGAGGATCACATTGCTCTCTTTCCATGGAGGATCACATTCCTCTCTTTGGATGGAGGGTCACATTCCTCTCTTTGCATGGAGGGTCACATTCCTCTCTTTGGATGGAGGGTCACATTCCTCTCTTTGGACGGAGAGTCACATTCCTCTCTTTGCATGGAGGGTCACATTCCTCTCTTTGGACGGAGGGTCACATTCCTCTCTTTGCATGGAGGGTCACATTCCTCTCTTTCCATGGAGGGTCACATTCCTCTCTTTGCATGGAGGGTCACATTCCTCTCTTTGCATGGAACGTCACTTGAAATTAAGCTTACAGTCCCTTTCAGTAAAATTTGTATCAAAGCAATCACGTGATGTATTAAGGCTATTTATTTTCTACATCTCATGAGTCCTGCACATTTTATTTCATTTTATTGTATTGAAAGCCAAAGTATTTTTGTATATGCAAAAAGTTTAAAATTTTTTTTACTCGTGGTGTCTAATCAAGTAAAGTGGTCTCTATATCCCAGATATTCAAGATATCAGCGGATTCAACTTTTTACTCCATTCTATTCGAAAATACTAAACTTTAGGTTTAGTCTCAGTAATGCAAATATGGTAAATTTAGAAAAGAATACAAATATACACATTTTCAAACTTTGTTCTGCAATGCCTTTGGGTACTTACTTTCAGGAACTTCTAGTATCAAAGCAAATATGATAAATAAACAAAGTTGAAAAAGAAATAGAATGATAAAAATTTAACTTTGTTTTATTTATATATCATCTAGATTCACAAGGCTAAACTGAAGAAAAAAAACTTTGCAAAAATGATGATTCCAACTACTGTTATAATAAATTTTCAAACTCAAGTTTTCTTAATCTTTGCAACCTGATTGTGTAAACGTTTGATATTTCAAACTATTATTTCATCTAGCAGAATTTATAGCTGTAAAAATCTATGGTCTACGATATTGGGCTGCAAAGGTAATTAGAAAGTCTGAATTTGTGGAAAAGACTCAATTCTTTTGATAAACCATAAATAATGATCATGATTAATAATAATGATCTAATATTTTGAAAATATTTCAAATGCATTTGTTATTTTTAACAAATATTTTCGTCCAAAGTTAGTTTGGAGCTAATTTAAAAGTTTGTTTTGTTTTGTTTGTTTGTGCAGAAAAGTGAGAAAACATCTTTTAACTTTTTAATAAATACTTATTATATTTGGAGAGATTTTAAACTTTTTCTATCTTTTCCTTACTTCCTTTGTTATTGACCTACATCTGTCAGAGTTCAAGGAATTTTGTGTACTTTCTTTCATTAATTAAAGGGACTGTTTGCGTAGTTTCAAGTGAACCTTCATGCAATGTCAGATTCACAGCGCGCCCTTTTAAAGGGAATTATGACGAAATTTTAGTGGCCTTATTAAAGAATAGTGACTTCTCTAACGATTTCAAAGTATGAAAACGCAAAATCATGCGTCAGCGTAAACATCATTTCGCGCAAAATTACGCTATTCCGCTTATGCATAATATGCAGTTTGATATTTACGGAGTAAACTAAATTATTCATAAAAATTTAAAATTCTAATAAAAAGTTGGATAAAAGTAGATTTTAAAATATGGTTGATTATTTTAGGAAAAGATTTAAAAATTACATTTATAAAAATTTACTTGTTTTTTTGTTCTTTGTGATAGTCGGATCATTCCAAAAAGTCCGAGAATCCTCATGATTGATTTAAAATGAGGCGGTATAAAAATCCCGTAATTAAATTAAGGTTTAATAAACTGTTTCTGAAGGTTTCCCTAAAGATGTCCATGAAGCTCCAGGCCAAATATCATTAAGCTGCCAATACAGTGCTCCCATAGTCATTCCTTCGCCCTTTAGAATTAATACAGTATAAAGATATTAGTGCTAATGATATCATTAAAAATACTGATAATGGTAGTAAAATTAGTAAAAATAATACAGTGAGAACCAGAAAACTGTGTAATAGGAAGACGACATTTAGACTAAAGTTCTGAGTTTACATGAACCTAAAACACAGCCGTTGTACACTGTACACTAAACAGACCCTTTTCACTTAATAAGTGATCATAATAAGTTACTAGTAAAACTATTAGATTTTTAACCCCATCAGATACAATTCTCAATTTTATACAGGGTGTCCCAATAAACATGGGAATTCAGTGACGAATTAGATATCGTCTTTTTAAAAAATTATTTGATTTGGTATAGTGATTCCTTCTAAGAAAGCTGTAATCGTCTGCTTTGTTTACAATTTGTTTGTTTATGGTTTGTTTTGAAATCAGGTATTACAATGCTAATTCTGAACAAAGACGATATCGAATTAGTCACTGAATTCTCATGTTTATTAGGACACCCTTTATCATCTTCATAGTATACCGTTTTCTGAGTTACACTGTAAAATTAACTTTTTTTTCACATTAATCAAGAAAAAAAATTATTGCAGATGAAGAAAAAGAGTTAAAAAGAGAAAATTTAAAAAAATAAAAATTCTTACTTTAATGTTAATTTGACTTCTGTGTCTTCTGTAATGTTCAGATTCTGTTTTCAAACTAAATAATAAAATCATAGCTTAGCATCATCAGCTCATTTTGAGGAAAATTATTAATTTTGGTAAAGTAAGGGTCAATATGTGTTGGAAATGGAAATCGGAGAAAAAAAAATATTTTCTCATATTTTTTTTAATGACATCTTAAAAATTTGAAAAAACTATTTTCTTTGTCGCTTAGTTTAGCCGGGTAATGTAAAGGTATAATCACCTGAATGCTTGGTATAGTTGGGCAATGTAAAGGTATAATCACCTGAATGCTTGGTATAGCTGGGCAATGTAAAGGTATAATCACCTGACCGCTTGGTATAGCTGGGCAATGTAAAGGTCTAATCACCTGACCGCTTAGTTTAGCCAAGTAATGTAAAGGTCTAATCACCTGACTGCTTGGTATAGTTGGGTAATGTAAAGGTCTAATCACCTGACCGCTTAGTTTAGCCGGGTAATGTAAAGGTATAATCACCTGAATGCTTGGTATAGTTGGGTAATGTAAAGGTATAATCACCTGACTGCTTGGTATAGCTGGGCAATGTAAAGGTCTAATCACCTGACTGCTTGGTATAGTTGGGTAATGTAAAGGTCTAATCACCTGACCGCTTGGTTTAGACGGGCAATGTAAAGGTATTATCACCTGAATGCTTGGTATAGCTGGGCAATGTAAAGGTCTAATCACCTGACTGCTTGGTATAGTTGGGCATGTAAAGGTCTAATCACCTGACGGCTTGGTATAGCTGGGCAATGTAAAGGTCTAATCACCTGACCGCTTAGTTTAGACGGGTAATGTAAAGGTATAATCACCTGACTGCTTGGTATAGTTGGGCAATGTAAAGGTATAATCACCTGAATGCTTGGTATAGTTGGGCAATGTAAAGGTCTAATCACCTGACCGCTTAGTTTAGACGGGTAATGTAAAGGTATAATCACCTGACCGCTTGGTATAGCTGGGCAATGTAAAGGTATAATCACTTGAATGCTTGGTATAGCTGGGCAATGTAAAGGTATAATCACCTGACCATTTGGTATAGTTGGGCAATGTAAAGGTATAATCACCTGACCATTTGGTATAGCTGGGCAATGTAAAGGTATAATCACCTCACCGCTTGGTATAGTTGGGAAATGTAAAGGTATAATAACTTGACCATTTGGTATAGCTGGGCAATGTAAAGGTATAATCACCTGACTGCTTGGTATAGCTGGGCAAGGTAAAGGTATAATCATCTGACCACTTGGTATAGCTGGGCAAGTTAAAGGTATAATCACCTGACCGCTTGGTATAGCTGGGCAATGTAAAGGTATAATCACCTGACCGCTTGGTATAGCTGGGCAAGGTAAAGTCTAATCACCTGACCGCTTGGTATAGCTGGGCAAGGTAAAGGAATTCCTGAAGACCAGTTTCAGTATCCAAACTTTCCAGATCAATAAACAGGTTCAAGTTTATCTTAAGAAACAAACATACTTTTATACCACAATTTTGGATCTTTTACATCAGTTTATGATGTTTCTAATGTTATTCCGGAACTGTGTTCGGAAATTTCCAAAATGTTATTACGGAAATTATTCCTAACTGGTTTTTCTCATAAAGTTCTGGAATTCCGGAAATGTCCAGTTTACGGAAAAATCACTCTGGAATTATTTCTGAATCCAAACGAGGAAACGGGAAAAATCCGGATCATATCTGTGCATAACCATATTTCCTTCCGAAACCTGTGATGGTCATACCCTGCAGGGCTAATTTTAATTAAAGGATTAAGATTAACGTTAATCCACACATAAAGTTCGGACCTCAGGGGTACAACAAATGTAAATTATAAGATCTTAAACTGTACTTCTAAAACAAGAAGGGACAGACTATGAAGGTTATGAATTTATTGTTAATCTTTAGCAAAAACCTGGAAATGTAAATAGCAAAAACCTGAAAATGTAAAAAAGATATTTATGATCAAATGAAAAATTTTATTTATTTGGCCCAAACATAATCTTCGATTTTGATGCTTAATTAATCTTCTTAAAACATTGCAATTTTCAAAAAAAAAGTCTAATAATATTAATTATTAATATTAATCAATCGTTTAACATCTTAAAAAAGTTATATTTTGATGTTTTTAACTTTCAGGTTTAAAATAAAAAAATCTTTTTCACATTTTTAAATCCAATTGTATTCTATTGTGAACTCAGCAACATAAAGCTTTAACAAAAAAGAACAGTATTTTCATTATTTTCATTATTTTCATTATTTTCATTATTTTCATCAACTAATTTAGAAGAAATAGAAATCTTTTTATTTCTTTTTTCTTTTAACATTTTCTATCTTTAATATTTTTAGGCTTTATATTTCATATTTTGCAATTTTCAAGTCAGGCGAAAATCTAGATTAATATAAAAGATGAATTTGCATTAATTTATAAAATTTAGACTTTTACTTAGAATATTGTTTTAACAATTATTCTACGCAAAGTATAAATGCTTTTTAAACATTTGAATTTTTCTTTAATTTAACTTTTCTAAAAGAAATTCCAATCCAAGGATATAAACAAAAGTACACATATTTACATATATTGTAGAATAACTTTAAGTTTCATAAACAAATCACAAAAATGTTGTTCTTTCATTGAACATGAAATTTTTAAAGATAGAAATATCTTCTTGCCTTTTAGTATACAGTGATACTAGAAAACAATGGAATAGTAAGACGACATATTAGCAATTTGATGTTGTTAATAAGAAAATACATTTACTAGACACTTATTAAATTACTAATTTAGTGAAATTGGTCTGTATACACTGCACAATTCCCGTGTCTTATGCTCATTGAAGTTTTTAAAGTTATAACTTGATAAAAAGTCGTCTTCTTATTTCAAAGATTTCGGGTTATCACAGTTTCTGAGAATTAAAGATTATTAATTGGGCATGTATAGCTCTTTAAATGGTGGGTCACTTTAGATTACGTAGAAAATTCCTTCAAAGGGAGTGACCGGCTATGTACGGTAGTTGAACTGAGTATGCAGTATGTGGAAAACTTCTTTCGGATTCATTGGAGACATATTAAACTTTTTAACCCTATCCCCGCTGGGGTACTTGAAAACCAGGATACGCTGGGGGGGGGTCAATTTGACCCCCCCTCTAAATCCCATGTTTTATGTCCAAATATGACAAATGATACATCATTAGAAAGCTCTTGTGCTCTACTTTTAGAATCTGCAAAAAAATTTGCAAATTTGCGAAAATTGAATTTTTTATCGCAAAATCCAGTTATATAGTAAAAATGTTTGCAAAAAAAAAGTTGTCCAAAAAATGACAAATTATACATTTTTGAAAAGCCCTTGACCATGCCATTTCAAATATGCAAAAATTTTTGCAAAATTTTAAATAACCTGATTTTTAATCAAGAAAAACTAAAAATGTGCAAATTTTCTTTGACAGGTTGTTTGCAAAAAATTTGCAATTATTTTTTCGCAAAACTTGGGCAATCCGTTTCCTTATGTCATAGGCTTTCTAAAAAGCTAAATTTTATCAAAATCTGACAAGTGAAAGTGGGTCAAAACAAAGATTTAGTTTGCTACAGGCAAAAGCAGTCATTCAGGCAGTGTGCCTGAGGACTCAGGCAGTTAGTATTAAAGCCCGGTTTTAGGCCTAAAGGGAGGGCTTTGGGTATGTAAGAAAAGTCAGAAAATTTCAACAGCCTCAGACCAATACTTTTGAGTTATGTAAAAAAAACTACAGGGGGGGGTCAAATTGACCCCCCCCCAGCGGGAATAGGGTTAAAGATCTGTAGATCCTGAGTTTGAGCGCAAATTCGACGTTCGATACTCCTACTTTGCGGGCGGATAAGTTTTCAGAATTAGTTTTTTTAAATTATTTAATAACGAGACATAAAATGTAAAAAAAGTTCTACAATAAACTACTGACGTCATGTATAGGAACAGGTTGAGAAAATAAAAATTAATCTTATCATCGAAAACAAGTAATCTTGTTCAATTATTAGTTTCTATTTTCTCAATGTTCTAGTTTCTCATTATTCACAAAGATTTTCGCATATTTTCTAGAATTATTATTGAAAAGACGACATTTGAAGAATTTGAAGAAATCTGTGAATAAATTCAAAAAAGATAAGAAATTCATTATAAAAATGAAAACGAAATAATCGATTTTAGCATCGATTTCTTGTAAGAAATATATTCCTAGCTGTCTAATTAGATTACTGTATAATTTTCACTTTATTTTTCGTCGTCGTTATTTAGTAATTTAAAAAAAACAAATTCTGAAAACGTATCCACTCCCAGTTCAACTACCTTACATAGCCAGTCCCTCCCTTCAATAGAAATTGTAATAACCTACTTCAGATGAATACCCAAATTTTGGGGATAATTATAAGACAAATGAGTCCATCTTACTGCTTATAGATATCACTGCGGGGCTTCAAGCAATGATTGATACTTTGGAGAAGAAAAAAAATCAGCGGTATTGCGGTTGTGATCTAGCAAAGACGAAGTTAAGAAAAAGAAATGTGTTTTTTTTTTTTTTTTTTAAATGGTTCATCTGCTGAAATCGTACTTTTAAGGTGAATATATTTGCCTTGGTTTGTTTGACACTTTTTAAGGACCACTAAATTTTCAAATTTTTAGACGATTTGTTTGTAAAAAATTTGTGTTTACAGCGGTTGAAGACAAAAAATGTATAAGAAATGTGCAATTTTGGTGATGGAAGGCAAAGAGTAATTTAAAACTTGCATTACCAGCGGTTGATTCAGCGGTGAATTCAATAAAAGTATTTTTAAATATTTGTTTTTCCATTTTTTAAAATGATAAAATTCAAATAAAAAATAAATAAATGCAGACTCTAACGTGATACAGTAGAGTGGAATTAATTTAATTGTAAAAGATATATTATACTTCATGTAAATATTTAGGTTAAAGACGGCCTATTTGTTGTAATTTATAAAGGAATTGAGGCATTGCCACATTTTTTAATCCCTTTATCTAAACTTCCCAATGTTCTAGACCCTAGATATTTCAAACTATAAATTCTGATGGATCAAATAATCAAAGTTTGAAATATCAAAGGTTTACGCCATCTTGTTTTAGAGATATAGGTATTAGAAAATTGTGATTTGTGGCAAAGACCCAATTCCTTTGATGGTTTACAGATAATTTATATTTCTTATGCGTCGGTCCAAAATTTGGACTCCAAATGTTTCATTATGAAATTAAATTAAAAAAATAAGTAAGTATGTGTATTGTATATTATTAAATAAGTAAGTATGTGTATTGTATATTATTAAATAAGTAAGTATGTGTATTGTATATTTTTAAATAAGTAAGTATGTGAATTGTATATTATTAAATAAGTGCATAATCCAGCTCTAATTAGCTTTACTACTAACCTGCCAGGACAGTTCAAGGTTACCTCCAGGATGATGTTGCCTAATTATAGAATAGGTAGGTAGGTAGGTAGGTAGGTAGGTAGGTAGGTAGGTAGGTAGGTAGGTAGGTAGGTAGGTAGGTAGGTAGATAGATAGGTAGGTAGGTAGGTAGCTTCTAGGTAGGTAGGTAGGTAGGTAGGTAGGTAGGTAGGTAGGTAGGTAGGTAGGAGGGTAGATAGGTTGTAGAGTTTATGTGATGTGTAATTGTTCAAATATCAAGATATTGTCAATATACAACAAAACAATCTATGAGAAAGAATATTGTGAAGTTTGTTTTACAAGTGGTTCTTCAGTAAATTGTGGTATAACGAACTGGCAAACAAAAATAAAGAAATATACAAGGTGAATAAAAAAACAGTGATTAGCGTTGTTTCACAAAAAAAACATTTCTTTTTTTGGCAGAGTTTATGTTTTTGGTAATGAACAAAATTCAGAAATATATTATCGTACATAGAAGAAAAAATTCGCAAAACCATTTAACCTCTTTTAAAATTTAATGGGAAAATGTGAATTTTTTTCCTTAATTTTCCTTAACCGTATTTATTTATGTTTAATTTTGTTTTTATTCAACCATACATAGATTTCTATGAAACTTAGGAATAGGATAAAAAAAATGTTAATCATTTTCTGAAGAAAAATAAATTCACCGGTTTCGTATACATATATTTTTCCTTTCTGTACCATTTTGATTTGCGTTTTGTTTACTTCATTTTAATATTTTTAACCTACAATTTTATTTTTAATACCTGTAAAAACCCTTTAAGGAAAATCTCATTTCTTAAACTAAAGGAATTGAGTC